CTGAGGCCAAATTTGAACTCAGGAAGATGAGTCTTCCTGATTCCAAGCTCAGTGCTCTATCCATTTGTACCACATAGCTGGCCCAGCAGAATTTTTCACAGACTAAGAAATTTCAGAAATAACAAAAAGGCTTTATTTTTGTCATATTGTTCTGTTTTTACCTCTACAACATCTCTTGTATATATTCCTTTCTTTAGACATAACACTAGTTCAGGACCTCATCACCCCTCAATTGGATTACTGCAATAGCCTCCTAATTGGTCTCCCTACTTCAAGCCTCTCCCCATCCCAATCCATTTTCCAATACAGCTGTCAAAGTGATTTTCCCTAACTACAGATCTGACCAGGTTGCTCTCTTACTCAATAAACTGTACTGGTTCCCTTTTTTCTGGATAAAATATGAACGTTTTATTTTTAAAGCCCTTCACAAGCTGGCCCCAGCCTATCTTTCTAATATCACACTCTGTTTTGAGTGCCTCTCCTCTGTTTCAGTGCCTTTGCACAGGCTGCCCAACTAGCCTGTCCAATAGAAAGAATTACTGCCAGGTCCACAGCGGTTGGTGTACTATGCCCACTCCCTCTCCAGAAGTGGCCTATTTACTCTGGACAGCAGCAAGAGGTCTGGATTGGGGTCAATCCTTGGGATCTTAGCCTTTGTGGTTCCTCACTCTTTGACTTGTTAAACCCCTACACCAGCACCTGAGGATAAATTATTTGAAGTTTAGTTTAGGTTCATTTGCCTAGAGTTTTCCCAAAAAAGGTCCTCAGTGTACCATAAGAATTAGGTATGGAATAGGCATTTATTTCCTACTTACAAAACAAATGATAAACACAGAACACTCACAAATCTGCTCTTGAAGAAGAAAAGACTTACAATTCAGTAACTAAACCTACAACTGCTGTTAACAGTCTGCTAGAAGGTTGACTCAAATTTCATCAGAACATAAAGCAGTGTGTGGGATTGCTGATCAGGCATTTTGCATTTCATTTAGACTGCACTATCCAAACAACTCCCAGTATATCTGCTGGTAAAATGACCAAGCTTGGTCCAGTCCTCTTGCCAATGGCCGTCTTCTCCAATGCAGAAGCTTCCCCTACCACCAGCCAGATCCATTCATTGTGCCCAGAACATCTGAACCTCTTGAACTTAGGAGCCTGGACACATTCACCTCAAGGCTAATGCTCAATCACTACTCAAGAAAGGAAACACAAAGAAGAAAAGGCTGCCAGTGATTAAGTCATGAGCTGACCTAAATGAGTCCAAGTTCCATGTAGGAATAGTGATGAGATGGGAGCAAAGAGCCCACTGGCAGGGGAGGGGAACCTGCGGCCTAGAAGCCATGTGTGGCCCTCTAGGGCCTCAAGTGCAGCCCTTTGACTGAATCCAATCTTAAAGGGCTGTACTTTAAGACACAGAGCACGACATGTGGCCTCCTGGTGGCAGATTCCCCACCCCTGGCCCAGCCCATATCCCTCATATGGATTCTAGAGACAAGGGTACACTATTTGCCACAAGGAAAAACTTGAAACCATTTCTTCTTTTAATTGACACTGCCAATGTATACGCTGATACTGTCCCAGGTTTGGGGAGACCCAGGGTAACACTTGGGATGTGCCGTATCATAAAAAATGTCAACTCCCTTCAGCACTGGAACAACACGTGGCCAGGAGCAGGCCCCACATAGTAGAATATAACAAGGAAGGGCAATTCTGAATATGTTCCATGGGATGGTCCTTTTCATACCTGAATGCACTGCCTCCCCATCTCAGATTTATAGATTCCTTCCTTCCTTCACAAGTTAGTTTACATACACCACCTTCCACTCAAAATCTTTCCTGACCTTCCCACCCCTAACTACTAGTGCCCTCCTTCTCTAATTTCCTTGTATTTAATTCTGTTGTATTTTGTTTCCATTCTGCATATATTTATTCTTCATATCCTTATATATGTACATGTTATCTCCCTCAATAGCATGTAAGTCCCTTGACAGAACAGTCTATTAAGCTTTTGTCTTTGTATCTCCAGTGCCTAGCATAGTGCCCAGCAAGTAGTAGGCACTTAACAAGATGTTTGTTGATTGACTGATTAGTTAATGAGAAAGTTTTTACGTTTCATTGTGAATATTTTAGTTTAGTCAAAAAGAAAAATTCGGGCTAAAATATCTAAAAACAAAGTCCTGGGCTTTTTGTGTGAAGTTACTTTAATAATATTAAAACATACATTCATTCTAGCAGATAATGACATCAGTCTGAACAATATTTTTGGAAATGTTTCTTTGGAAACTTTAATTACCACCAATGTATAAAAATAAATAACAGAATTTTTGTCCAGGTGGCATGGCCTCTTCTTCAGAAAACAGAATTCTTAAGCTCTAAAATCTGCCTCACAAGTTAATCCTTATGGAGGGGGGGAGATAGCAATCTGTTTACAGTACTGTTTCTCCAAAGCCTAAGTCGATTTGTAATTTGAATTGAGTCCCAAAGGGCACTGTTCCTAACAAATGAGGTGAATAACATTTTCCTCTCCTTGCTTTTGCCTAGAGAGGGAGGGAGATACAGTAACATGTTGAATATAGCTCAAATTTTGTTTGGAAATTTCAAAGCCTAGTTATAAACTTCTATGTCATAACTGGCATAAGGTATTTTATGGCAGTCCATGGATACCATGTCTATGTCATAAAGAATACAGGAATTTAAATAAAATATTTAGCTCCCATGAGAGAAATATCTATAACAGATGAAAATCATTGAAAATAGAGGCAGAAAACATGTGAAAACTATGCTCCCTTTACCCCATTTCATTCATGCCCAATATTTTTTTTAGTTTCCTTAGTGCTTTTGATACCCCAACATATTGAATGAAATAAAGGGGGAGGGATATCAGAATGTTCTAAGTATATGATTACAAACTTCCTTTCCCTGGACATTTCATCTTTAGAACACTTCTTTGTTCAAACTAAGGTGGGGGCAATTTTCCTTAAAAATGATCTTACAATTACATTAAAGATTTTGAGCTCTGTTCCAGCTATAACCAAGTTATCTTCCCTTGCATGACAAAAAAAAAATTGTAATCCCTGATCCTGCTATTCTACAGACAATTATTATATTTTTCCTATCTTCTTTCTCAGTTAGAGAAGTGTGGGGTTTTTCAGATGCATACAAGGAAAGGAGTCTCATGGATTGTCTTCATTAGAATTAATCCTCTTCTACTTTGAAACTCAGTCATTGGGAGGCTGCTTGATACGGTAGAAAAAGCCCTAGTTTCAGAGACCTGGTTTCAAATCCCACTTCTGAAGCTTTCTGTTGTGTGACCTTGAGCAAGTCACTTCCTGGGCCTCAGTTTCCTCAACTGTAAAGTGAAGGAGTGGGACTAGATGGTCTCTGAAGATTCTAGCTCTGTGGTTTATTCTGTTTTTGTAGTCTTTGTTCTTATCGAGTTGTATCATTCTAGTTTTTTGGTCCTTACTCCAAGAATAAAACACAGATTGTATCCTTGTCTCCATCTATTTCTAATTTCCTGACTCTTTTCTATGCATATCTTTTATGCAAAAGATACCTAAGAAACTATCCTTCAAGAACTAGAACATCATATTAAAGAGGTTCTCACCTTAACCAACTAACTTACTTGTTACTTGCTTAGAGAGGTGGGATGAGGAGGCAGGATGAGACCTGGCAAGTGTAATAGAGCCCTCTCCTTGCCTTCCTGGCTTCCTTCCTCTCTCCTTTCCTCATTCTCTCCCTACTCCCCTCCCCAGTGGACAGTTCACGTTTCACCACCTGCTCCAGAGACTAACCAATAAACAGTACACTGTCATCTTTTCCCAATTCAACCCTCCCACCACTATCAGGTTCCCTTGTATTGAAAAGCTACATTTCCAAAAACTGTGCAACTCTCGTCCCACCCCAGCCCTTTCTCTCACGATACTACTGAATTCATAATGGTCTGCATCAGTATAACATCCATATTGGGCCCACAACTCACAGCACCACCTACCCCTGCCTCCAGAAACGCAGCTCTGGCTCATACCCTGCTGCTCTCCATAACGCCTCACTTCCAGCCAAGTGGGAGCACCTGATTCACACGTCCGACTGAGCAAAAAGATCAATGCTCTGGGCAGCTGTCTGACGCTTAGGTACCAGAGCAAAGAGGAACCCGTTTCCAGGTGGTGAGCCAAATATACTGTGTCTGGTCCTAACTGCTCTGGAACCAAGCTTCACTTATTTCTTCCTGAAATAACAAATATCCCTTACCAAGATGCGCACTCCACTTGTGTATTTGAAGTTCTAATAAACATCTCGGCAGAATGAAGGCACAGTGCCCCGCAGGGAAAGAAAATAAGTTTAGGGCGGGGACTCCTAGCTCCCAAGACCTTTGGAAACCCTCCCTTTCTAATAGATCAGGAAATAAAAAAAGAAGAAGAAAAAGAAAAGAAGCGTTAGGAATTAAGAGGGTAGTAGAAAGAAGAGGGTAGTAGAAGAAGACACAGCAGGTGGTGAAGAAGAGTAATGGTCGCATCCCTCTCCTGAATCGACACCAAGAACAACCGTAAAGGAGCTGAGGGCCTCCGTCCGCGCCGCTTTGTTGTTCAGGTCCCTTGTTGCTAGCGCCCACACTGCGTGGAAACACGCCCTAAAAAAAAATTATCTCAACGAGCTAAGAACTAGAAGCCCCCTACCCCTAAGGAGAGAAGAAACTTGAGCCGGCGGCGCAAGCTAAAGCTGTTTCTGAGGCTCTGAGCCCAGGAGGCCAATTATATACATAGAGATTTTTTTTTTTCTAAAGGGGATCAAATATTTTGGTTTTATTTCTTACATTTATTTACATTTATATAATGATTTTTCTTTTTAGTCTGGTGATATTTCCAAATGCTCGTCGCAATAAAAGAAGTGGAGGAAAAGGAGTTTGCAGTGGAGGAAGGCAGAGGTGGGATAGTGGGGTTGGAGAGGTAGCAATAAGAATCTACGTAGATTTGTAGAGCATCTAGGCACCTCGCCTTTACCTGTGGATGCAGTCTCCATGGCAACGGGAGGGTGTTTCTCCTCTTGGCGATCTTTGCCTGAGCCCAATTCCTGCTGCGCCCCTTCTCCAACGCTTTCTCCCCCGCTCCTGCAAGTCTCCCCTGCCGGGTGTTGCTGTTGAGGCAGCGACGGTGGCCGGTGAAACCCTTTCATCGTCACCGTTTCCTCCTCCTCCTTCCCCTCCTCCTCCCTCCCATCCCCGAACCACTGTGACCCAGGGCCAGGCAGCAGCAGCAGCTCGTCTTTTTGATCCGCCGGCACAGACATGGCTCTGCTGGACTCAGTGACTCAGTTGTCTCTTATAGGTAGAAGAGGCTACTCTGGCTAAGAGGCAGTGGCGGGCTGGATTATTCTCTGATGCTGTTTGTATGAGGGACTTCGGGAGGCTGCAGTACCACACAGCCTCTTCTGCTGCTGCCACGCTGCTCCTCCTCCTCCCCCTCCTCCCCCTTCCCTTTTTCCTCCTAGTTCTGCTGCTGTTACCGCTACTGCTCCTCCTCCTGCCGCGGTTGCTGACTCGCTACTACAGAACCTATTATTACGCAGGTGAAAATGGCTTGCTCCCTTAGAGTGCTCCAAAGCTCACGTCAGCCTTCGGCTCTAGCAGGCCAGATTAGGGAAAGCCTGACTGGTCTGCTTAAATCTTTTTCATTTGGGGAAAGGATGAAATCCCAAGAGCCCCACACTACCCCTGAAGTACCTTCAGGCTACCGACCTCTTAACTAAAAACCGAACCTTGAGTGATGCCTTGGGACCAAGTGTACAAATGAGAGATCTGGAGACGCCAAGGCCACGGAGCCTGAGGCTGGCCTGTGTCAGTTGCGTAACAAACTTAAAGAAAAAAAAAAAAACCTTAAAGACAAGGTAAAAGTAGAATATTGGTAATATTAGCTTTCAGATTGCAGATGGAGGTACCAGTATATTCCAGGATTACTTTATGGATATGTTCTACTGTTTACAATTCACAGTCTAATCAAGTGAAGCAGTCAGGTGGATTAAATAATATTGGTTCCATGCCCTTACTCTAAGGCCTTCAACAAGTATTTATTAACTGCTTCTGGACTTCCTGCTAGGTACTGTAGATACTAAAACAAAAAAGAAATAGTCCCATAGTCCCTTTCTTAAAAGAATTTATATTCTCTAGGGGAGAATTATTCTCATCTTTATTGTTATTATATAACAATTCTGCACTCACAGCTTGTTCATGTACTGGAAATATATAATATAGATTCAAGCATAGTGAGAAAGCAAGAAAGAATTTGATGACAACTTGGCTTTTCTTTTTTTGAGACATGCCAACAACACAAAAATGTCAACAACAATTAATAGCATAGTACATAAAAAAGCATAGTACTTTTTTTTTCAGGGAGGCAGTTTAAAACTCAGGGTTACCTAGTTTTAAATCCATTATCCTCTCTTCTAAACAGTATAACTTCCAAATTAAAAAGTAACTTGAACCAAGATGTCTCATAAATTAGAGAGATAGAATAGATAGACAGATAGATGGAAGGACGGACAGATAGAGATAGATAGATAGATAGATAGATAGATAGATAGATAGATAGATAGA